TGGGCAAGGCACGGAATCAGCCGATTTCAGACTTGGAACAGGCTTCACGCCACCATAACATCCTTGACAAGCAAGGGGGCCTTCAGCTTCTGGGCCTTCCCCAGGCAGCCCATTTCTGCTTTTGGATAGGCCTGTTAAGAGGCACCTTCCACCCTTGTTCTCTCTGGAGCTTCTTTCCTACTCTTAGCCCAAGGTTCCTGGTTCTTCCTTAAATTCTCACATGACCTGGAGTCAAGCCTCTTCACCAGCTACACACCTGATTTGGGGTGATCTCCAGTTTATCAGAGGCCTCCCTAGACTGCAGGCAATGCCCAGAACTGAACATAATGCTTGAGATCCCCGTCTTGTGCCTCTGTCAGTGAAGCCTAAGATGTCAGCTTCTTTGGCTGACCCATCACTGATGACCTATAGGGAGGTTTCGGGTCACTAAGATCCTCAAATCTTTTTAGGACAAAACTTCTCTCCAGCCATGCTTCCCCCAACCTGTACTTGCAAATTGGATTTTTGAAACCCTAGAGGGAGACATTACTTCTATTCTTATTGAATTTCTATTTATTCCTAATTCCTAATATTATTCCTATTGAATTATTTGATTCAGCCCAAAGAACCCAAACCTCTTTTGCAGCTCCATCCCCAGAAATTGATCGGCATTTAGTAGTTTTTGTTCCTAGTGTGTTATTTTCAAAATTCTGTTAAGAGGTAATAATAATAGCTACCTGTAAGATGTTTCCTTCTTTTAAAATGAAAGTTGAAATTATTCCACAACATAATAGCCAGTGTTTGCATAATGCTTTGATGTTTGTGAAGCACTGCATGTGCTTTGATCCAGAGATCTCATTATTGGGTGTGTGGCCCAAGGAGGTCAAAGACAGAAAGGTCCCATGTCCACCAAATGGGCCATTGACTAAATGGCCACGAAAATTGTATGACGTGAATATTAATGTGCCACGAGAAACGGTGACTGTGCAGAATTTAGAGAACCGTGAGAAAACAAACAAACCAAGGCAGAATTAAGTGAGCAGGAGCAGAAGAAAAACACACACACACACACACACACACACACACACACGAACTGAAACAATGTGAAGGGAAGAAGCAAACAATAGTTTAGACTTAAAAATATGTAGATATATCTGTTGGTTTCTCAGTGTTGATTACTGAAGGAAATTCTCAGGGTAAATCACTGGTGTAATTTACGTATCTATTGTTTTGAGGGCTAACTTCCTAATACAAATGTTAAATATTCATCTGTTTGATGTTTGTCACCTACTGTGTGCAAGATACTTTACTAAGCATTGAGATAGATGCAAAGATAAATCAGGTCTGACTCCAACCCTAAAGGAGTTTCAGCTCTAATGGGAGAAATAAGACCCATAATTGTTGACAAAATATATGTCAGTAAGAGGTGTGAAATAACCAGGGAGAGGTATCACCTGAGCTGGGTCTTGAAGCAAGAATGGAGTTGTGGTGGTAGATACTGAGATGAAAAACAGTTCGAGGGACGGGCAATGATGTGAGCAAAGGCCCAGAGGTGGGAAACTATGAGAAGTATTTGGGAGACTGGTGAAGTGCAGGAGGAAAGAACACTGGAAAGGGCATAGATGGCCAGGTTGAAGAGGGCTGAGAATTTCTGGGGGAAGGAATTTTGGGTTTTTATTTGGCAGCCATTGGGACGCTTCAAGATTTTTAAACAGTGGAGTGGTGTATAATAGGAACATTAATCTGGTTACTGATTGGGAAGGGAAAAAAGCATTCATTAAGTGCCTGCTGTGTGCCAGATACTGTGCCTAGGTCTCATTTGATCCTCACAACAACCCTATAAGGTTGGAGTAATGATGATGATAAACATTTAATATCATATTTACTATGCTAAGCACTTTACAAATATCCCACTTAATCTTCATAACCCTGGGAGGAAGGTTGCTGTTTATTATCTCTATCTTTTCTGAGTCGAGGAAACAGAGGTGAAGTGGCTTGCCCAGGATCACACAGCTGTAATGGGTCTGAGGTCACATTTGAACTCAGGTTTTCCTGACTTCAGAGCCAGTGCTCTATGCATGATGGTGCCCCCTACCTGCCCCTTTTATTTTCCTAATAGATGAGGAAGCTGTTTTAATTGTCCATGCAAAAAGCAAACACCACCTGAACTAGAATTGGGGGATTGTAAATAGTAAAGAGGAAACTCAGGGGGGCAAGATGACTAATTTGATGATTTGCAGATGACTCATTTTGCAGTGGCAAATAGAGCTTTGATAAATAATCACTTCATTAACCTTCTGCATAATTACAAAATTGGAATACATCACTTCTATAAAGATGTCCTGGGTCTGTCTCTGAGTTATGGAAAACATGCTGTAAAGTTTTGTCAGACCACAAAAATCAGCACTTTGTAGAAAGGAAATTGATTGGTCCAGACATGTAATTTAATTGAAATTTACCTTTGTAATTTAAAGAAATGTTGCAACCATTTAAACTAACCAACCAAAATAACTACTAGCTGGACAGTTTGGCAAATTGATGAATGAAAGCTTTGACTCCACTTGAACTACTTTATATGCCAGGTTTCTTCCTGGCAGTTTCCATGAATCCCCTTGGATCAGGTGCAGTACTTTTATGGTTTGTATTTCTCCATCCTCTCCTGCCTACTTTGGTCTAGACCACTGGTACATCTTGGTTTGTACAGCTGATTGTATGATTGTATTTCCATTAGTGTGTCGAAAACAAATCTTAAACCCTTCACTGAACATAGCATAACCCTGATAATATTTATGGCCACTAGAAAACGATTTGGTCTGGTGATAATTTGCATTTTCCTCAGTGCCACCCACCAGAAACGCTTTGGACATTTTTCATCATGGGCTCTGATGTTCAACATCCCTTGATGTAATTTTTAAAGAAACTCAGTGTTTTTCCTAGAAAATACATTCTCACTCTTGGGTCACTTTCTTGGATTCATGCCCGTTGCTTCGGGTGTTTGTTCCTGTCCTCGAATTCTTGGCGTTGGGCATTTTAGAATAATTGAAGTGAGAAGGTGGCCTCACAGGGTTGTGCTTTTCCCCTAATACGAGATCAGGCTGTTCCCAAAGGTTCAATGCCATTGTTAAGTGATTAAAGAACACTAAACCTTGGAGCCTCCCCATGTGCACCTCTGGCCTCAGCTCTTTGGCCTCTGAGGTGAGAATCGAAAGACAGCAAAGAAAAACGGGGTCACCTTTGTCCAGTGCTTTAAGGTGCGTCACGAGCTTGCCCCACAGGTTCTGGGGGATGCATTGCAGCTGGTAGCACTGCCATTTTACAGAGATATGGTGACTTGCTGATGGACACACAGCCAGGGAGTGTCTGATGGGAGAGTTGAACCCCGGGCTCCCAACTCCACCTTCACGACTTTTCCCGTAATATCCATGAGTTCTTTTATTTAGGTCTTTAGGGCAGTTTTTAAAATGTTTAATTTTTTCTTTAATCTCTGAGGGAGAAGATTTTGAAAAACCAGGGGCCACGGATGCCAAAGGAGGTAGAGATGAGGAACCTCCAAGAGGGTTGGCTCCTCACGACCTCCCATGACCCCCCACGGGGTCAGAGATTTAGAGCTGGAAGGGACAAGAGCCCCCTCATTTCCACAGATGAGGAGATGGAGGCCCAGAGTAGTTAGAGGCAGTCTTTTTCAGTTCCCACTGAGGGCAGTTGTCTGAGGTGGCATTCAAACCCAGATCTGCTGGAATCCCAGCCCGACATGGTAGGATACACTCTGGCATTTTGGTATTTCCCTCCTGAAGCCCTCTCCAAATGAGAGTGACTGTCTTTGAAAGACCCCAGATTACAACAGGACATGGTGTGATATGTACTGCCAATATTTCTCCTCACTGTTCTGTCTGTATTAGTAAAGGCACTAAGGTTGAGGTTAAAGGCTGCCTGCCTTCCCCTCTTTTGGCCTCAGTTTCCGTCCATGTGAAACAAGGAGGCGGAACCAGACGACCTTTCGGGTTCTTTCCAGTTTTAGAGCTCAGCTCCTAGGATCCTGTAACGAGCATTAGGACAGTAACCTGATAGGTGATTTTCTGCCAGCATTTCAAAGAGTCAAGAGGTTTTCAGCTGAAAACTGTATAGTCATCTCATGACTCGGGATTGCCTTGTTTGAAGTGACAGAATTCTAGTGTTCCACTTTAAGAACCAAACATTTGTTTGATTAGATAGACGGATCCTCTTGTGTGACTTCACGTGTTACAAAGCAGAGTAGCTAACCTGGCATTAGTGTTGAAGTATCTTCTGAATTTGCAAGAACCGATGGTGACTTTTGGCATTTATTCTGGGTTATTTTCCTTCACCTTTGTTAGCTTGCCATTTTTAAAAGGCAAATTAGAAAATAATTTGTTAGGTTTGTAGAACCTGGTGCTATCTTAAAATAAAAATAGGAGAAAGTGTAAACCAAATAAGCTTGGGTTAAAGATTAAATTCTTTAAAAGCTAACTTGAAATTTAGGTGCTTTTCTGAAGAGTGTTCGGAGGCAGCACTCTTTGATCTTGTTTTCTGTAGGATTCTTAATGACTGTCTTATGATACAATGTTTCTGATCTGGAACAGATAGAGAATAATCAGGCTGTTGGCATGTTGTTTCCCCAAGCATTTGGGCCTCTGAGAAAGAGAGAAACACGTAGTAAAGCGAGAAGGAAGGTGAATAGTTAATTAGGAAGGAGAGGAAAACAGCTCCGTACTTTGGCCAGAGGCAGCCTGGGAAGTGACGTGCTGTAGCGTTTGCTATTCTAGAAGGTGCAGAGAGGCGTAGTATAAAACGGGAGGACCAGGAGAGAGGCTGTCTCTGTTTGGCTCTAAATGAGCAGAGGGAGGGAGGGAGGCAGGGAGGAGGCAGCTCACTTCTTGTGCTACTGAAGGAGCTGGCCCTGGGCTCCCGCCGCAGCTTTCCAATGCCCAGAGAGGTTTGTTTTTCTTAGGGTCCGTCTCTCGCTGAGACCAGAGATACAGCTGTATATTTCTTCTTACATAAAGGGAAATCTAAATTCATTTCAAGACATTCGGAATGGGGAAAGACTATTATTCCATTTTGGGGATTGAAAAAGGAGCTTCTGATGAAGAAGTTAAGAAAGCTTACCGAAAACAAGCCCTCCGATTTCATCCGGACAAGAACAAATCCCCTCAGGCAGAGGAGAGATTTAAAGAGGTGGCCGAAGCCTATGAGGTTCTGAGCGATCCTAAAAAGAAAGAAATCTATGATCAGTTTGGGGAGGAGGGTAAGTGTTGTGTGAGAGAGAGAGTGTGTGTGTGTGTGTGTGTGTGTGTCTGTGTGTGTGTGTGTCTGTGTCTGTGTGTGTCTGTGTGTCTCTGTCTGTCTCCCTCCCGCTCTCCGTCTCCTAGTTCACTAGGGCTCTCACATGTGTACATAGGGGAGAAAATAACCGGATTTTGTCCTGGTTTATTGTTTGTTTGAATTGTGTATGGTGAGAATGAGAATAGCAGTGATTCGACTGTATTTGCATAATTTGCTGTTTGAACACATTTTCACACTGCACACTTTCCATGATTTGGCTTAGGCTCAGTTTTTGAAAAGAAGCTTAAAACCATTCTGGGCACTGAGTTTCAGAAGTTATGCCCAACCTCTTTTGGAATTTGTTTTATTTATTTGAGATATGAATAAATAGCCTTTTGTTCTTTTGGGTCTTGTTTGATAATGAAAATTAGAGGGATTTGTATGTATTTTATTTTTAATTTTAAAAAGCAGAAGATTAATCCCCATAGATACAGGAACTCTAGAGGAGACTGAAGAGGACGGGACAGCCCCCAGAAGTGGGAGCCCAGGCATCTAGTTTCTAGCTTGTTTTTGGCTTTGTGCCTGGAAAGGAAAGAATTTGCCTGATGTCATAAAATACCAGAACAAGTTTTTAGCTTAATTGTAAACAGTAAGCATGTGCCAAGAAAAGGAGGCCCCTGAAATGTAATTTTTTACCCTAAAATGGCTACCAGGTTAGAGCCTTGTTTGACTTAGTCATGGAATCTCAGAGCTGGAAGAGACCTGAACATTTCAGACAAAATTGTTCAAAATTTTAATACTGAGCCAAAAGCATGCTTTTCTTCCCCTCCCCCACCTCCATGTTTTTACATATATTAAGAGATTAGATACTGGCCAGAGACAATCTAGGGGCAAAATCCATCTCATCATTTTGTCAATTTAGAATTTGTTTTCAAAGTTACCCTTCATCTCTTCCTAATTTTGAAGAGGAAACTTTGAGAAGGCTCTCTTGTGAACTGTGAAGGGAAAGAGGGCAGGGGTCTGTTATTAATAGATTTTTCATAATGTCTGTGGATCAGTACTAAGTCATTAATTGGGGTCATCTTTGTTTTCATCGTGGCAGCCATAAGGGAGCTGTGGGGTTTCCCCTGGACCACAGGAGCATCACTTACTGAGCTTGTCCCTGTAGATAGTACTTGTGCTATGCTCTGATAGAAGTTATCTCAGTTTAATTTTGCCAAGTAACTGCAGTTTTTTCTAATCTCTAAAATGTAAATAACCAACTTGATGGAATATTATACTTTTCAACTGGTTATTTTTTGCATAGATAGCTCCTGCCAGATTCTTGCAAAGAAAATATTGGAAAAGGCATAAATATTAGGCAGTTCAATGCTACCAAAAGATACTACTTTTTAAAAAAAGTCATTTGTCATATAAGAGAGTTTGAGCAATCTAATGATAAAATTGTTGTTGTGTTTGTCCTTCGTTCTCGAATAGGACCATGACATCAGGGCGGTGACATGACTTGTAATTGACTTTGGTTTGAGTGAGGGAGGGCTGTGCAAGGTCACCAGCCTCACTTTCTCCTCTAGAGCCATCTGGGTCCAGCGGCCAGATATTCATCAGGACGGCTGGAATGATAGAATATATCCTTATGGCAAACAAAAAGTTGTTTTGGGGGGGGTGTCTAATAAATTTGCCTAAATTTCAATGATTGCCCAAGTTTTGCCACAATAAATAAGCCACAGTCAGTCAGTGTGCTTTTATTAAGTGCCTCCTATGTACTAGGCACTATGTCTTTAACACTGAAGATACAAAGAAAGGCCTGAAGAACATTTAACCTTATCATAAACCTTATATAAACAAACTGTACCTTTGCCTTGGCTTAACAGTTCACGGGATGGTGGGCCAAAGACCTCAGTCAAGTCCTCTGCTACATACCGCCTCCAAGACCCTAGGCAAGCTGCCTAAACTCTCAGTCCCCCAAGACTGTCTTTCACAGACATGCCGCCCACATTGGAAGGAGTGTTTCCTCATCTGTGAGCTCCTTATACCAATGAAATCGGAGCCTGGTCCCTATGCCTACCGTTAAAGACCTCATTGTTCTGTCTCTGTGTCTACCCATCATCCGAATTCATATTCCCGTAATCGCAGCCCTACATGGCCCCCAGCGTTGTGTGCCAGAGCTCGCTTTGGGAATGAGCTTCAGGTTTGGAGCCTCTACTTAAGGTGCTCGGATTAAGGAGGACAAACATTGTGTTAAAAAGGAGGGACCAGTGAGAGACTTTAAAAAAACAAAAAACAAAAACAAACCACAACTACCAAGCTGCACCTCATGGTGAAATGCCAGTCGCTGTGTTGGTTTTGCCTTTTTGTCTCACTACATGTAATGGATGCATGTTCCAAAAAGAACCTTGTGGAAATCTAGGATGTGTTAAGAATTCTGACCCTTAGAGAAAAATGGAGGATTTAACAACAGTACAATTAAAATTGTATACAATAAAAAAGGATCATAGAATCATTCAACTTTAAAATGAGGCCTTTGAAAAAGAATGATATATCCTGAGAAGGAAACGTAGGGTTCTTCCTCATAGTTCTAAAGATAGACAAATGATCAGAAATCATCTATAGAAAACTTCACAGAAGAATTTTAGTGTCTTTTGTATTTTTTTATTCATATTTTATGTAAGATGGTTTTATTTGTAAAATAAAATCTTACTTTTTTATGGTTTGCTGAATGCTGTATAGATACTAAATAGTAAAATCGGCATTATCTGCCGTTTGCTCAGGTGTGCTAATCTTTTCTACTTCCTTCTTTTCTACATATTAATGTATCTTTCCCTTATTTTGCCAAATGAATCTATTGCAGTAAAGTTATATGCAAATCAAATAATTTTAGATTCCCAAAGAGAGCTTGCTATTTCAAAGAAACTAATCATCCCCCTCCTCAATTTATCCTTTTGGTAAATTGAGATTTTTCTCTATCAGGTTTGCTTCCATTTCCTCCATCCTTTATCCTCTGATTCCTTTCCATTGCTTACAATCTTAACCAAGTCTTCACTTTTTTCCTCCCTCCCCCAACAAAAATCCAAAAAAATCTTGGCTTAACCCTTTCATTCCCTCAGGCTGTCCTAGCTCTTTCCTTCAAAACTAATCTAGGAAATCAGTGTTAGGTTCACTGCTTTCATATTCTTAACTGCTTACCTGTCTCCCTTCAGCCCTAGTGTCTCCAACACATGTCTCTAGCAGGACTCACCCTAGTTCCCTCTTCCTGTGGAGGGCACCAGACTCTTTTTGAGCAGCCCAGGTCTGTAGCCTTGGCATCATCTTGAACTTGTCCGTCACCGTCCCTCAGCCCTGACTTCCCTCTCCTCCATCTCCTCAGCACCTCTCACCTGGACGTTTCCCTTCAAGTGCGTCCTCCACACAGCTTCCCAAATGGCCGCCACCCTGACTTCTGACTGACTCTCAAGGAAGATACAAACTCCTGATTTGGGGTCACTAACGCCTGTCATCATCTAGTGCTGTCATGCCTTTCGATTGTTTTTTCCTTTGTTGTAGTCCCTACATTCTAATTTCCTGCCTGATACACAGCCTACCGTCTGTGACCTCCACGCCTTTGCATTGCCCTTCCATTTCTAGCTCTCCTCTCCATCTGTCCCTGTCTACCCCCAGACGCAGGCCAGCCAGCTCTCATGGGCCTTGAAGCATTCCTGATCTCTCGGACTTTACCTTCGTAGAGTTGCCACGGTTCCTTTGCTAGTTTAGACCGTTCCTTGGAGCTTGATTGTCTCGAGGCCTCAATACAAATTCCCAAGTCTGGCCTCTAACCTTTTACCTTGTTCTCCTCCATCCATTCATGCTGGCTCTTAGCTGTGCAGGCCACACCTGAGTTGTGTTCTCTCCGGCTCCTCTTGCTCCTTCCCTTTTCAGTAGCAGCTTCGCTGATGCCCCTGTGCTGAGAGTCACATCTCCCTCCTCAAAACGTCTTGGAGCACTTTACCTCCTTCGCCCCTCTCCTGGGAGCATACATTTAAGGCCCGAAGAAAACCTCAACATTTTATGAATGAGGAAAGGGAGACCCAAAGAGCCTCAGGGATTTCCCTGAGGTACCCCAGGTGGCAGGTGGTAGAGGCAGGATTCAAACTCGGATCCTCTGCCTGCCTGTCTGCAAGGAGACAGATGACGTCCTTTTTTTGTTAAGAAAATCACCAATGCCAGCCTATGGAACAGGTGCTAATTCCAGGGTCAGAGGGCTCAAAGGACCCCAGGGGACCATTCTGGGAGGCCTTTCTTTGCACTGCCCATGCCAGTGCTTCGGGTTTCATCTGGATCAGGAAGAGCTGGCATGAAGGACAGGCCACAATGTCCAGGTCTTCTTGGTGTTCCTTTTTCAGTAGAGATGCTAGAGAAATGGAAGTAGATGGAGATCCTCCTAGTGCCTTTGTTTTCAGCATGAACGGCCACCTCAGTGAGAGGTAATGAGCTGTGGTACATGGGTCCTTCACAGTATTTCTGCATGGCAGAGAGAGGGACATGATTCAAGATCGGACTCCGATTAAAAATAGAACTGGACTCAATGGACAGGAGTTGGAGGGAGAGGGATTGCAACTCAGGATAAAAGAAAACTTCCTTCACATTTAGAGTTGTCCCAAGAGCTAAGAAGTCCTTGTCACCAAATGTTTTCAAGTGTGTGCGCACATGTGTGCGTGTGTGCATGTATATGTACGTGTGTGTCTGAGCCTTTGGGGTGGAGTGAGAGGTGGAGGGAGGGGATGGCCACTTCTTAGGGATACCATGGTGGGGGGCTCATTCCTTAGTAAAGTATTGGACTAGATCAGGAACTCTTTACCCATTTGGTAGCAGTCTGGAGAAGACGTTGAAGCCCTTCTTGAAATCATGTTTTTAAAGACAGAAAATAAAATACAGAGGTGTACAAAGAAGACCAATTATATGAAAATAGAATTAACAAAATTTTTGAAGTTGATGGATCCCAGCTTCAGAATCCTTGGGCTAGATGGGTATGTGGGTTTCTGGGTGTCAGTGAAAGGTGTTGGCTTTGGTAGTGAAGGGCCTCTGGCTCTTGGCTAGTGGGAAGATATCCAAATGAACGTTTTCTCATTAGACTCTATCCTTTGATTGATGGAGTTGTTGTCTTAACTTGGCCTCTGCAAGTGAAAGAGGTGTCAGGAAAAGATGTCCACTCTCCTGCAGAGGGGAAGGTCAAGCCTTAGATGATGGGGAGAAGACATTCGGATGGAGGACAAAGCATGGGGAGGGGTGCCTCTTGGAGGGGAGAGCTGGGTTTTCCCAGTGAAATTTTTACTTGTTGGAATGATTATGCATCTTTTGTTGTGATTGTTGTGATTTCTTCTATAATCTGAAGCAAAGAATTACATTTTTGTAGGTGGGATTTAGCAGGATATTTAGCCTCTTGGAGCTTTCAGCCCTGTCCTTATCATAGTCTGTTAAAATTTCCTCAGTTTTTTTAGTCTTTTACATTTTATTCTGTATGATTTTTTTGATGGGGAATATTTGAGGCCCCTCCAGAAGTTTAACCAATGCAGAGTCGAATGACAAAACCCTTGACTCTCTTAGACTCCTCAGAGATCCTGTGATTTTCTAGCTTTTCAGCTTTGTGTATATTCTGTCTCTAATCATGGCCTCTTAGTGATGTGGGGACAGTGGCAGTGCCCTGAGGAGTCAGGGAGCGGCAGCCGCAGCTGACCCAACAACCATGTGTTCCCAGAGACTCTTGGATATCTCTCTTTCAGTAGGGCTCTGTTTGATTGAAGTGGCAGGCTTAGATTAAACTGTGATATTTCGAAAAATGATATTTTCCATTGAGGGCCTTCATGATTAGATTTCTACCCTTTCCATACCTGAAAAGTCTTCTCTTTTTATTCTTTACTAGGAAAGTGAGATTTTAGGGTATTTTTTTTTAACAGCTCCTGGTAAAAATTTCCTGTTTTAGTGTTAGTGCCAGTCAGTAAGCATTTATTAAGTACCTACTGTGTGCCAGACACTGTGCTAAGTGCTGGGGAAACAAAAGAGGCAAAAGAAAGTCCCTGCCCTCGAGGAACTTAGAGTCTAATGTGTACAAGCGCCTGTGGCTTGAAATTCCTGGCTCAAGTAAAGACCTGGTTTCTGAATATTAATTTGCTTATAGAAAGACTATTGACTTCTCTCTTTAAAAGTTACAAGTCAGAAGTCATCTCTGTGGGGTGAAACATCAATGCAATGAGAAGTTTGTCACACCATTTGTTGTTTTCCTTCTCTTTCACTGTGTTACGCTGCTCTTTAGGATGGTAAAACATTGTCAAAGAACAACAACCCTAGACCCGAGAGTCGAAAGTGACACAACCTTTTAGATGTTTAATTATGAGAGGCAGATAGAAGGCCAACCTTGGAGCAGGAAGACATAAGGTTCGCCATCTGCCCCTGAGACAAGCTGGGTGACCATGGCCAAGTCACTTAACCTGTTGTGTCCCCAGGCAAATCAGTCCTTAGAACAGGGAATTAGACTTAACTGTTCACTCTGGAGAAATCACAGATGAAACACACCCTGTGTTATCAGGCCTAGGGTTGTAAAGTAGGCATCTGTATTTTACGTCGCACGGGTCTTTCTAACATGTTGCTCATCTCATCCAGGTTTGAAAGGAGGAGCCGGTGGGACTGATGGACAAGGAGGTACCTTCCGGTACACCTTTCATGGTGATCCTCATGCCACGTTTGCAGCGTTTTTCGGTGGTTCCAGTCCTTTTGAAGTCTTCTTTGGTAGAAGAATGGCTAATAATAGAGATGCTGAAGAAATGGAAGTAGATGGAGATCCTTTCAGTGCCTTTGGTTTCAGCATGAACGGGTATCCCAGGGAGAGGAACTCTGTGGGTTCATCCCGACCCAGGCAAGACCCCCCAGTTATCCACGAACTTAAAGTCTCTCTTGAAGAAATCTATAGTGGTTGTACCAAACGGATGAAGATTTCCCGAAAAAGGCTGAACCCTGATGGGAGAAGTGTTCGAACAGAAGACAAAATTCTCACCATTGAGATAAAAAAAGGATGGAAAGAAGGAACAAAAATCACTTTTCCAAGGGAAGGAGATGAAATGCCCAATAGTATTCCAGCAGATATTGTTTTTGTCATTAAAGATAAAGAGCATACGCAATTTAAGAGGGATGGATCAAATATTCTCTATCCTGTCCGAATCAGTTTGCGGGAGGTAAGTGATAAACAGGATCTGACTCAGTTTGTGCTGTGAGCATCTAGGAAATGGGTGTGGAAAACACCTCCTGACCCTAAGGAGCTCTGAGTGCCCAGCTGCGCTGTTGGGATTGCCACAGAAGTGGGGTGAGCGTGGGACACGTCGGTGCATGTCAGTGGGCCCCCAGCTCTGCCACTTGTCAGTGGGAGTGGGCTCAGTGGCCTTGGAATGACTTTTAATCCCTGTACAAACGTGAGGGTTAGTTATCTCGGTAATGGAAGCTTCCAGTGCTGTGTGTTCATTGTAGTATATGTTAATGATGGTTTGTAACCTACTGTTTAAAGGAATAACTTTTATCTGTTTTGTAAATTAAAACTGTGGACCTTGTGTATGAAACCCTAACGACAATCCTTCCACAAATCCGTGGTTTCCTTGGCGTGGTTGTGCCTTCCACTGAGCCCCCTCATTCAGCTGCCAAAGGCTTTTTGAGTATTCCCAGAGAGATCCCGAGAGGTGCCGCGTGCGTGGTGGAGAAGGCACTGGATTTTAACCGGAATCCTGGCTCTTGGCCACCCACCGGGTGACTGAGGGAGGTCCCTGCCTCCCTTGGGTTCAGTTTGTGCATTTTCCTTTGCATCACACAACTGACCCACCTCCTTTTCTGGTCATAAACATCTAGAAAATGTCTGTTACATGTGCAAGCTGATGATGCGCTCTGATGGACTTCTGTCCCTGTGCGTCTTTCCTCGCCCTTTGGCCAGCGTCACCCGGCGGGCGATCGTTTACCCAGTGTCCGCCACCTAAGCAGTTCCATGCCCAGTTCAGCATTCCCCTGCCACACTTAAGGATGGTGCCCATAGTGATCGATTCATTGACTGGATCAAGCCTATGGGTCAGGGTCTCGTCAGAGTGCATGGGTGACATTCTGCCACGAAGACTGTGCATTTGATCTCTACAGTCTAGATGAAAAAATGGAAAAAAACAGTATCCTAAAATGTTCGTTTTGAATTGAAGCATTATGTGAATGCAGTAGAAAGGGAAATACGTAGCTTATAATAGTCACGGCCTTCTTTCTAAGGCATCGTTTCCTACACTGCCAAACAGTATCCTAAAATGTTCGTTTTGAATTGAAGCGTTATGTGAATGCAGTAGAAAGGGAAATACATAGCTTATAATAGGCACGGCCTTCTTTCTAAGGCATTGTTTCCTATACTGCTAAATGTAATGCCAAAAAGGAGAGGATATGCGTACGTTGGATCAGTGTGACCTTCCTTGCCAATCCAGCAGTTCTCAGTTCTCTCCTTTCCCACTTCTTGAGTAGTTTGTCCCCCTGATCCCAGGGCAACGTGGAGGCAAGACTCCCCCACTCCCCTCTTTTTTGTCGATGGACCTCAGTTGAACAAAATTGTATTCAGCACTGGCAGCAGGCAAAGCGTGCTACTAAAGTCTAAGGATAGGCCGATGAACAGTACATTGGCCCCTGTCCTCGATGGGAGTTTGGAATAAAAAGTTGGATGGTCTCTGACAGTTGTGGTTACAAGATTTGCCTTAGTTATAATTGATGTCATCTTTTTGCATCTGATTTTTTTTTTTGCGCTAAGCTTTTAAAAGATAATGTGACAAGCTTCTACTTTGTTCTTGATCTTCTAGGCCTTGTGTGGCTGCTCCATCAACGTCCCCACAATTGAGGGAAGAACCATCCCGATGTCAATAAATGAAGTTGTGAAGCCTGGAATGAGGAGAAGAATCATAGGCTATGGACTGCCCTTTCCAAAAAACCCTGACCAGCGGGGCGACCTGCTCATAGAGTTCGAGGTGAACTTCCCTGACACCCTGTCTTCAGCATCCAAAGAAGTCCTTCGGAAGCATCTTCCGACCTCCTAGGAGGAGGGCGCACTCACCTGGTTACCAGGGTTTTGGCAAGGCACTGAATAGACATACCATAGACAAAGTGGGGTGAATGCCTTGAGGGTTCAGTGATATGCTTGAATAGAGAGGGTCAAATAAAGGGCAAGAGGGAACTTGCAGTTAAATATGGAGAAGAAAACCACTTCTGTATTTTATTTTCTTCTTAACCAGAAATTTCATTCACAATTTTGCATATGTGTAAAATTTAGTTGTTTTGTGAAGCTAGTGTATGTATTGCTAATAAAGTACTTGATTACGAAAGTACTTTATTTCTCATATATCTACATCATCAATAGATGCTGCCATTTATACTGGAGAGCAGAATTCATAGATGAAATGACATGTACTATGCATCTTCAGGACATTTTAAAGAGGCTATTTAAAAATAGAGAAATTAGGTTTAAATCTGCTTCTATAGTAGTGCTATAGGGCTGGTACCCTGATAGAGAAATTGCCTGGTAGATAGATTTCATTACTTTGATTTTCAAAATGTGAATTTATGTCAAGTTATTTTTTCACCTGTGGAAATCCTAGTTGCCTGAACTACTGGGTATTTTCAAAATATCAGGCTCCTTTAAAATGTCACATGTGTGATTTTTATCTGTGAAAGTAGAATACATATGCATAGGCATGTATGTACTTATATACATGCCTGTCAACATATATGCTGGGCTTATGAAATTAGAGACTCAGCAAGCACTGGCATCAGTGATCTATTTTAAAATGGATGTGCTCTTCAAGGCTCTTGTTGAGTCCGTTTTTCAGCTCTGTCATCATATTCTCATAGTGTATACAATCATAGGCTTTATGAGTCAATTTAAGTAGTTCCTGGAAAGGAACCAATAATCACTAGTATAGTGTTACAACCAAAATACAGGGAAAAACAGTAACTGCTGCTTGTAGTAATGTTGCTACTATATAATATGTGTATGCATGTAAAATATTTTGTTTCCATATGTACAGTATTGTATTTCTCATGTTTTTAATTTAAAAATTGTAAACTTATTTTTAACTTTCTTTGCTTTTGTTACCATAGTGAAAATGATCTTTTGAAACAGTGTGTTCAGTAAAATTTTCTGATCCCTGGGTCTAGATTTATTCTGCATGTCATATTTATAGTACTTTGTTAGACTTTAGTTATGTCAAGTATACAGAACCCTATCACAATTGAAAAATCATAGTAATGAAATTTGCATTTCACAAATGAGATCTTCAGTAAGCTTATACTTTTGTTATAAAATCAAAAACTCATAAAATAGCAATGAATTAAATTATTCCTGCTTATCATTCCATTTCCTCATTCATAAAAGATTCTTCTATGGCCATGTTTCTCAGACTGAAGTTAGGAGCCTTCTCAGAAGCCACAGAAACATTGCATGGAGGCGTGGTAGCACCATTCTATTTCCGTTTTCCTCTTCTTTACCTTCCCCTTCTTCCTGGATAACACCACCATCACCACATTTCAACCATTTGATCCAGTTAATATCTTTTGTGTCAATATTACATTTAATTCTTACCATGCCTTTTTAAAATTGAATGATGATATAGGATATAGGAACTCTTCAAAATAGATAAAATAAGCTCGCTTGTTTTTGGAGAGGGTAAGACAGTCATGGGATAAAAATAAAATTATTGCTTTACGGTCATTGAAGCTATGTGGACTGAAAAAAGGCAAAAGTCTACCATGTCCATTTCCTACATGGCTTCAGATCCCAGAATCAAGATTTATAGGGGACTTACTGATATTTTGACATGAGGAAGTTCATAAAGTCGATGCTGAACAAATATTTATTAGGGAATGAATGTAGAGACGAAGTCGGATTTTCTACCCCAATCAGAAAAGTAGTACTCTTTAGTGCATTAGACCTTCCCGTTTCTAGGATGAATACTAAGGGACCATACATGCTAGCACAGTTATGAAGAAAACACTTTGTGAAGCTTCAGAAAATGCTCTACGAGGTTAGGGGTACAGAACAAACGAGGTGTTTGCAGACTTTCACCGAGGCATGGCCATAGACGTATAGCCTTTTTTGGGTACAAGGATCAGAGCTTGTTTTCAGTGATTTATTTGTAAGAGAGAATTGCCTTAACTGTGGATGAAGGAAATGTAATAAGAAAATGGAGTTGTACTTATGTCATTAGTAAATTGTTTACAGTTACTGATGTAGATCTTTATAACCAAAGGATTATAACTTCCTCACTGAATATAATACTTCAAAATTGAAATACCCATTAAATTTAGCAGCAAAAAGCTTCTCTGAGGTATAGTAACCTCAGATGTAACACTAAGTATGTGTCTTGCTAATTTCAAATTGTGTCATACTTTATCTGGGAAACTTAAGTTTTATAGATTTAAATATAATTTTGACTGTCATTGCACATTAGCTATAATTATTGAAGCAAAGATTAGAGTAAAATAAATGTCAATTTTATTGTTATTTGCAATAGTTTAATAACTACTTACCCTATGGTCCATTAATATCTCACTATAAAGGCCATGCATGTTCATTTAAAATGCATTTTGAGATTTTATTAAAAACTGTGTAAACTCTGTAGTGCAAATTATGCTAATTAGAAAACTTCTATAGTATGTATTGCAAGACCAAAGTGGGCTCAATTTTCTTTTCAGAAAATAGTGCTACCTCTTTATGTCATGTATTTGTGCTTTTGTTGAGTTGGGTTCCCAACAGTCTTTATCTTAGAGAGTTCTCTGAGGCTTAGCGAGATTAACACAGCAACTCAATGTCTGAGGTGGGATTTGAACTCAGGTTTTCCTGACTCCAAATCTAGGCACTACCGGTAAGACATGATTAATTAGCAACAGACAAGTAGCATATGAGAATTTAACTGATTAATTTTGTGGCTTTTCAGTAATAACACTGTTGCTTATTAAAGGAGCCACAAAGTTGATACATTTAAAAGAATATGTTTATTTCATATAGTATGCTTATTTATTAGAGTTCTATAATAGTTTTATCAAAGAACTCAGAGAATATGTACAGACTTTAAATGAGATGATTCCTAAGTTAAAACTATAACCGAGAGACTGTTCGTGGAACAATAATAAAGCTGAATAAAATGAGATAACCTAGTGAACTGATTTTTCTACCATGAATCACCAAGGGGCTACTGAGGCTCATCATCTTTTGTTAGGAAATGGGGAAAAAAAGATCTTGGTAAACATTTTGAATTTGGGCATTGCAGTCTGGGGGGAAAGAGCCCTGGTCACGGAGTCCTGTTCTGCGTCAGTCACTGTGTGATACTGAGTTAGTCGCTCTTTTATCTGGCCTCAGTTGCCTCATCTCTAGAATGACCAACTATTTGGAGATTGTTGTGAGGGAAGAGCTGTGTAAATGAACGTTCTCCCTAAATGTGTGATAGTGGCTTTTATTGATGATGATGATGACATTTGCTAAGCAGCAACATCCTTATAAAGCCATTCTGAACATTGTATACGTGGTTATTTCAAAAAGCTCCTGTAAAATTTGAGGATTTCAGAGTGGATCTCATAGGGATGGATTAGATTTTTTCCCCTTGTAAATACGATGCCCTTTGAGGCACTCAGCCATAATAAGTTTGTTTCTGTTACTTCCAATTTGCCAAATTTCAAAAAACTTTTTTACGTGCATTGCAGAGGCAAGTCAATCTCATAAAGAATGTTAAAGGAACATCTAGGAGGCAGAGTCAAGATGGTGGAGTGAGAGCATTTTTTCCCAACTCACCCAACATACGTTCTCCACAATAATCCATAAACGTGCCAAACCGAATTCTGATGGGGAAAGCCAGGAAAAAGTCACAGTAAGCCTTTTTTTCCATCCCAGGGCAGCCTAGGAAGACAGAGAGGTCTGCAGACAGTGGGGTGAGGGCTGGCCAGGAGCACAGTGTGGCAGAGACGGTACAACAGTGGGGATCATTCTAGGGTAAGGGGGCTAAGACTGAATACCGTGGGGGCCAGGGCAGAAAGAGATCCTAGGGAGACCCCTGAACCAGTGTTGGGAGCAGAGCAGGTACACCCCCCACCCCATGCCTGGGCACAGATCCAGGGCCAAGAGGACCAGTCGTGAATGTAGAGACCCTGGCTGTGTACAGGAACAGGTTCCAAACACTGAGGTCCATGGTTCTGAGCCCAAGAGCAGAGTGGAGACTCATTGCTAACCTTGAGCTCTGAGAATAAGCCTGTAATGAAGTAATCCAGGGCAGAAAGCCAAGACCAAAGTGGGGAGAAGTCAAGCGATTCAGCCCCTCTGACCCTACAGGACATCCCAGCAGCAGCCTGTGGAAGCTCAACCTTACACAAGCCAACAGAACCCAACCTGGGCCAGGAACGTGCAGAGCTCATACCAGGAGGGCAGTGAACAGACTGTTCCCCAATTAAGACCACTTTGAAAGCACTGAAACCTTGCAGGCCCCAAACTGCCCCAGAATGAGCTGTGGAAACAGTAGAGAGACATACAAAGACAGAAGCTCAGGTCAGACATCTCCCTCTCCCCAAGAAGTGAGCGTAGCCCAGCACTAACATTATACAAGTGCAAACTCAGGAAGGAGACAGGAAGAATAAGCAAACAAAAAAGAACCCCAACTAGTAAGAGCTAACATGGTGTCTGGGAACCTCAAGACAGACTCAGAAGAAAAAAAAATAACATCTACATGCAAAGCTGCAAAGGAAAAAAAAGTGCAGGCAGGACACAAGTCCAACGACAATTCCTAAAAGAGATGAAGAGATTTTTAAAAGAACAAAAAATTATTTTAAAAAGCAAATAAAGGCAATAGAAAAAATGGGAAAAGAAATCAGAGCTATTCAAGAAAGTTATGAAAAGAGAAGAGCTTTGTAAAAGAGGTATAAATCTTCTGAAGAAATTAGCTCCTTAAAAATTAGAATTCCAAATGGAACCTAATGACTCCAAGAAATAATAAAAACAAAGTCAAATGACTTTAAAAATAGAAGAAAATGTGAAGTATCTCATAGGAAAAACAAGGAATCTGGAAAAATAGATTGAGGAGAGATAATTTAAGAATCATTAGACTACCTGAAAGCCAACAACAAAAAAAGAGCCCAGACATCGTATTTTTAGAAATTATAAAGGAAAATTAGTTGCCCAATTACCTTAGAGCCAGAGGACAAGGTAGAAGTTGGAAGAATTCATTGTGACCTCCTTAAAGAAATCCCAAAATGAAAACTCCCTGATCTCTCTGTCTCTCTCTCTCTCTCTCTCTCTCTCTCTCTCTCTCACACACACACACACACACACACACACACACACAAATACTGTAAGCAATCAGAAAAAAATAATTCAGATACCAAGGAACCACAATCAGGATTGCATGAGACTTAGCAGTTACCACTATAAAGATATGGAGAACTTGGAACATGATATTCTGGAAGGCAAAGGATCTAGGATAACAGCCAAGTGTGAGCTATCCAGCAAAACTGAACATAATCCTATAGGATAAGGGGGTGGGGTGGGCATGCAACAAAATAGAACACATTCAAACATCCCTGATGAAAAGACCAAAGGTGAAGCATAAAAAGGGAAACATGAGAGAGAAGAAATGCTAAAGTACTGAACAAGGTTAAATTGTTTCCATTCTTATATGGGGAGAGGATGCCCTGTAAAACTTTATCATTGGGGCTGTTAGAGGGAGTGTGGTTCGACAGAGGGCTTATGTGTGATTCTGTTCTGTTGGGATGATCTCAAGAAAAGAATGGAAGGGTGATGAAAAGGAATGCACTGAGAGAGGGGAAGGGAGAGGAAGGAAGGGGAGAGATAATGTCACATAAATGGGGTATTCGAGGAAGAGTTTACACAGCAGAGGAGGCAATGGTGGGAGCCATATTTGGACCTTGTTCACATCTAAATTGGTTCAAAGAGAGATGAATAAACATATACACAGTTGGGTGCAGAAATCCGTCTTACCTGAAGAGAGCAAAGGGTAAACAGAAGGGGAGAGGGGAAATAAGAGAGAGGGTAGATTAAGGGAGACAGTGATCAGAAGCAAAACAGATTTTTGAGGAAGGGACAGAGTGAAAAGAAGGATAAGTACAAGAAAAAAGGATGGAGGGAATACATAGCAATCTTAACTATGTATATAAATGGGATGAATCACCCATAAGATAGAAAAGGATGAAACAGATTAGAAACCAGAATAATCCAAAAACGAATTCTTTGCAAGAAACACACATAGAGTTAAAGTAAGGGTCTGGAACAGAATATGTCATACTTAGGCTGAATTTAAAAAAAAAGTAACCATCTCAGACAATGCAAAAGCAAAAAATAGGCTTAATTAAAGGAGATAAACAGGGCAGGGAAACTTCATTTTGCTAAAAGGTACCATAGACAATATCAATACTGAGCATATAGGCACCAAATGGCATAGCATCCAAATTCTCGAAGGAAAGAAAGTTAAATGTAGTTATAGGAGGAAAACAACAGTAAAATTATACTAGGTAAATCTAACCATAAAGTAAGAAGTTAAGAACATTAGTAGAATTTAGAAAAGTTAGATATGATAGACTTCCAGAGAATATACCTATTTCTCAGCTGTGCACCTTCACAAGAATTGATCATAAAAATCTCACCCACAAGGGCAGTAAAGTAGAATCATGAAGTATCTTTTTCTGACTATAATGCAATAAAAGTAACATTCAATAAAGGGCCTTGGAAGCATAGATTAAACATTAACTAGAAACGAAATACTCTAGACCTAAAGAATGAATTGGTCAAAAGTCATAGAAAGAACCAGTAATTTCATTAAAGATAATGACAACAATGAGAAAACATACCAAAATCTGTGGGATGCAGCCATAGCAATACTTAGGGGAAAATTTATATCGCTACACCCTTACATCAATAAAAGAGAAAAAAAGCGGATGGAATTGAGCATGCAACTAAACTAAGAAAAAACAAAAATCCCCAAAGAACAGAAATCTGAAAAGCAAAGGAGATATTAACCAAATTGAAAGCTTAAAGGAAAAAAAACCCACATTGAACCAGTATGTAAAACTAGAACTGATTTAAAAAAACCAATAAAATAAATATTAGATAATCTTAGAAGGATGGAAAAAAGCCAAATTACCAGTACCCAAAATGAAGAGGATAAATTCACAACCAATGAAGAGGAAATGAAGGCAATTATTAGGAATTATTTTGCCCAGCTACGTGCTGACAAAACTGACAATCTAAAGGAAATGGCTAAATGTTTACTAAAATATGCGTTGCTCAGATTAGCAGAACGGGAAATAGAATATTTGAATAGCCCCTTCTTAGAAAAAGAAATTGAGCAAGCCATACGTGAGCTCTCTTAAGAAAGGGAAGAAAAAAAATGTGACCAGATGGATTTACAAGCTAATTCTACCAAACTTTTTATTTTTTTGAGGCAATCTGGGTTAAGTCACTTGCCAAAGGTCACACAGCTTGTAAGTGTCAGAGGCCAGATTGAACTCAGGTCCTTCAGACTCCAGAGCCTACCGAACTTTTAAAGAGCAGTTTGTTTCAATACTATGTAAGTTTAAAAAAAAAAAAAAGGTAAAGAAGTCCTATGATACAAATATGGTCATGATGTCTAAACCAGGGAGAGTCAAAACAGAGAAAGAAACCTATAGATCTAATTTCCCTAATGAATATTGATGTAAAATTTTAAATAAATACAAGCTAGAAGATTACAAAAATATATCACAAGATCATACTCTGACAAAGTCAGATTTATACCAGGAATGCAGGGCTGATTCAGTATTAGGAAAACTATCAGCATAATTTACCCACATCAATAACAAAAATCACAATTATTTCAATAGATGCAGAATAAGCTTTTGACAAAATACACCACCTAATTCTATTAAAAGCACTAGAAAACACAGGAATAAATGGAGCTTTCCTGAAAATAATAATAGCTATCTCTTGACTTGCAAGTGAACTGGATTTCAGTGAGGCAGAGCTTCACTTTTTCCTTCAGAGTCATTAGAGTCCAGTGGCAAAACAAAAGTCAAGAGGACTGGCAAAGGCCCAGGATGCAGTGGGTGACCTTGGCCTTTCCAAATTAAAGTCTTTCCCAGGGTTTAGTTCATCTGAGGGAACAGTAGCTGCCTA